ATGTCAGAAGAATTAGGAACAGAAACAATAACAGATTAAATTCACGAATAAATATTTCTCACCGTTTAAAAGAAAAAAAAAAAAAATTTAATGTGTACACCGCAAGACCTTCCTTGCAACGGAATATTAAATTATATGCATTTTTGCCTGCATTTCATTTAAACTTATTTCTTCGAATTTCGTTAGAGGTATATTTCTCATTCAATTAATTCAGTTCTTACTTCCCAACAAGGCAAAAATTCATAAAATCTCAAAATACCTTTATTAAAAATTGAAACATATAGAAAAATATAAAACACCAAATACAATTAAAACAGTTAAAAAAACAATTTTTACTTAAGACTTTCTACGCAAAATCAAGGAATTCGATTAACGGGCCAGAAGGCAGATTTTTCGGTGCAAAAAACTGAAAGATTCCGTTTGGTCCCACACGGTAAAAAGGGTGTCCGTCGATAACATCGCGACAAAAACTCGCGGACGAAAACGTCAGGGAGAAAACAACGCAAGGCGAAAACGTCGTGCTACAAAAGATCGTGGGAGAAAACATCGCAATCCTAAAACATCGTCGTCGAAAATAAAGCGGCTCAAAAACTTCGCAGTTTAAAAACATCGTCGTCGAAAATATCGTGGTAAAAAATAAAGTATCTACAAATCATCGCATGACGATAACATCGCAGACATGCTTTTTTTTTTATACATGCTTTAATAATTGTAAATGGATATTCCCATAATGATTTGTGAGCGCAAGATGTAAAGAAGGATAATTTTTACTTTCACATTTTTTGTTAACTAATAAATTTTTGCTGAAAAAGTAAGAAGGAAACTTAAGCATAGAAAATTAAATGCATCTTATAGCTTATACTTTTCATGAAAAATTACCAGTAAAACTTTAATAAAAATGATTTATTAATGCCTTTGTTAGTTTAACTATGTCGGTTTTAAAATTCTATATAATTGCTATAAGTTGCATTAATTTGCTATGCTTAAGTTTCCTTCTTACTTTTTCAGAAAAAAATTATTAGTTAATAAAAAAATGTGACAGTAAAAATTATCCTTCTTTCCATCTTGCGCTCACAAATCATTATGGGAATATCCATTTACAGTTATTAAAGCATGTTTGAGAAAAGCATGTATGAAAAAAGCATGTCTGCGATGTTATCGTCATACGATGATTTGTAGATACTTTATTTTTTACCACGATATTTTCGACGACGATGTTTTTAAATTGCGAAGTTTTTGAACAGCTTTATTTTCGACGACGAGGTTTTGTATCACGATGTTTTGTAGCACGACGTTTTCGCCTTGCGTTGTTTTCTCTGCGACGTTTTCGTCCGCCATGTTTTTGCCGCGATGTTTTCGGCTGTAACCGGTAAAAAGACATTGAAGGTGCAGAAAGACTTAATTCACTATTATGCTAAGTTTCAAATGTAAACAAATACGGCTGCTATGTAGTGCTAGTAGGTCTAGCAGCACTTAAACAAATTTTAAATTATTGGTAATTCTATAACTATTGCATGCAGATTAACTAAAGGCATAAAAACTTTAACCGGAAGATAAGAACAAAGCAATTCAATCATTTTTAAAGCTAAAAATGCACAATTTACCCATATGCAAGGCAAGACAAAAAAAAAAAAAAAAAAAAAAAAACATAGTTGAGTAACAGAGTGGTATTTATATATTTTTGGGTGCAGTCGATTGCAACCAAAACGAGAGGTGCACATCTGCATATTATAGCAGTCATATATACAAAATTTCAATGTTCGGAGATTACTCGTTTTTGAGTTATGCGAGATACATACATACATGCGTACGTACGTACAGACGCCATGAAAAACATCTCTTCGGAATCCGTTTTAAATAAGTTTTATAATTAGTTTGAGGAAAAGGTGTCCTTACGTACAGACGTCACGCAAAAACATCGTTAAATTGCATTTAATATCAGTCAAAATGGATATTTTCGTTGAAATATGATACCCGCAATTTTTTGTGATTGCTATACTTCCTTTACTTCGTACAAGAAAGTAAAAAGTCAGCTTTAATTCACCTATTCTGCGCATATACAATTAAACGTTTATTAAAAATAATTTTTGACCTATTCATATTTTTACACTGGAGAGGTACAAATTTATATCAGCTCTCCTATCTGAATCTGATTAAAAGCCCACTGGAAATTTATTTATCTGTTTATTGCTATTCTGCCAATGAATTTTTTCAAGTGCTAAGACCCTCAACTATACTTCTTTCTACGCGTTTCTTTAGAATATAGAATCTTTGTTCTGCAGGAGTTTAAAACTTGAATTATTGTTTTCAACATTATTGTAGATAAATCTCTGTTTTGCTGGCAACATTCGTTTATTTCAACAAAAGAGAACAAAAAAACCAATAGCTTGCGCGCAGGTTTTCTTATTCATGTGCTAGAAATGAAATATTGCTGAAGAAGTCGGAAAGAAAAACCGGTATGAGATATTTTAAGAAATAATTCATCTTATACACATCTTATACAAAATTCTTTCGCTAGAAATAGAATAAAATTTATTTTTTGAGGAAGATTGAATTTTTTAAACTAAACTAGGACAGAAATGTTTGAAGACTTTTATTTCATTCACTTTGTAAGATTCTCACTAGTGTATTTCTCAGTTACTGTAGAAAGTGACGAATCTTAAGAACTAGTAGCGAATAATCGCTGAAGTTCGTGTAACAAGGAAACAACAAGATGGAAGGGTAACTAACCCTTTATTATTCCAATAAGATTTAACTAAACTCCGTCTTGTGGTATACAATCAAAGCCGACACTTGGGCTTGAACTTAAGAGACTAAGAAATAAACTAAATCTAAGATTAACTAAAGAAATATAGCCGAAGCTATCAAGATTCTAATCGAGTTGGCCCCTTAACTCTATTTGAATACGAAGCTTATCAAGGGCCTGAGTACGGCCGAGCGTAATAACAGCTTGAGAGAGAGAGAGAGAGTAGCCAAAAGGAAGACGCGCTCAAATCAGAAACTCTGATTTTCTCTCACTCTGTAAGTAAACTTCGCGGTTTAAATATCGCTCCTCCTCATTAAGTATTCAGAATGATTCCAAAACTACGTGGCCGGAAGTAGTAAGTTGAAGTAAAAAATTTGACAGGAAGGGAACTTAAAATTTAACTGTTAATAAAATTAACATAATCCTTACAACTTCATAAGTAGAGAATTCCTTTAACGAAGATGAATTTGAGTGGATGGCGATGGCAAAGGAAGTTCATTCAAATAGTTAATTGAGCTTTTCTTAAAGGGGGGGGGCTAATGCAAACTAAATTGTTCCACAGTTTTTTAATTTATGGACTGCCATAGAACTTAACACATATTTTATTAGGATAAAACAGCATTGCTATAATTATTAGCATTAAGTAAATATTTACCATTTGTTTACTACTGTTTTATTTTTTTATACTGTTGCTAATAGGTGATTTATTATTATTATATTTTTGTAAATTAGACTGAATACATTTTTACATTTATTTTGCATTGTGCATTAAATTTGTGTTGTTGCATTGTTACGTATATAATTGTTTTAATTTGCTCAATTTTATGCTTGTATAAAACTGTGTGATATAAATGCAAAATTTTTTGTTTACATTATGTTTATACTTTATAAACATCGTCAATAAGTAGAAAATGTCACCTGTGAAAATTTATTAAACTTGGCGACAAATTGGAGAAATGCTCTTAAATTTGGCTGCGATTAAAACTGTGTAGAATTGTAGATAACTAAAAAGGTCTTAAACATCAAAGAGATAGTAAGAGATAATTCTGGGAAAGTAGCACTCACCCTGCTTTGAACTATAAAAAGTTTTTGCCGCTCTACTAGTCAGTAAGTCACAGCAATGAGTGGAGTATATCAGGAATTTCTATCTTAACTCGTTAGAAACTGCAGCTTTAAACATTCTTCAACATCTGAATTTCATATAAAGAGCTTAGCTAACTGTGAGCTGTCTTTCAAAAGATGCCTAATTAAGGCTCGACACTTGATAGCAAAAATAATTAGTATCATTACAAAATTAGCTACATGTGGGGAAGGGCTACATAACTACAAGTATCAGATTAATAATTCGAGAAAATAATATATTCCGAATCACTAACAATAGAAATACGTTCTCCCGTTTATATTAATCTAAATTTTTAACCCTACTATTAACAAAACTATGTGACTGAGATTGACAAATTACATAATTGCATTAGGAAAATGAATACTCTGTATAGAATATGTATGAATAATTACCTAAATGTAAGTAGCACTGGTTAATTGATCTTGATATCTAATGACAATCTAACAGCCCTGTATAAACCCAATTAGTTTAATCTGGTACGTTAACGGTTTATAATGAAATATAATCCAGTTGTTCAAAATACCGAGATTTCAGTACCTGAGATGCGCATGATGGGCTAATGAAGATTGCTGTGCTCGTTCTGTGGTGTGGATCAAACACAGCTTTTAAATCGGAAGTATTCTAATGTGGTTACTCTTAACTCTCATTAGAAGCTCTTATAGAAGGTTAGTAAAAGGAAACAATACCTGATGATTTATAACTTTTTTTTTGTTGTTGTTTATGCGATTACGGCAAAGCACAGAGGACTATCTGCTTAAGGAGAGGATGTCTTTATTGAGAACTTTCTAGAGGACCTAGCTCGTATAGACGTTACACATGGGTAAAGCCACGAAAACGCCCATGCAGTAAGAAAGCCCGTTCGAGGGATTCGAAAAAAATTATAAAGCAAATGAATAAATTTGTTTTAATATAATTATTTCTTTGCGTAGATTTAGCATTTTCTTTATAATAACCCGATCTCTCGTTGGAGGGAGACAGAGATGATGTAGCAATCTGTAATATGTCTTCATTCAATCGAAATCTTCTCTACCCCCATAGTTTGACCCCTCCCTAAGAATTTTAGAGACTAGTGATTTAACTATAGATTTACAGATAATTGCAGTTAAGAGTTATTGCAATTTAAGGACTCACATGTAGGCGGTGGGAATGTCCATTCCCCTTGATCGTTGCAGACAGTTATTGATTCGCCTACGATGACAAATCCGGCGTTGCACGTGAATTGCAGGAAATCTCCTGTCAAGTATCGACCCGTGTCCAACACCCGTCCATTGTTGGGTGCTAAAGGAGGCTCACATTCGATAGCTAGAAGAGAAATAATAGTGTATAAGGAACACAGCAATAATTACAAGCAGAAAAATAATCGAACACTTAACCAATTGGAAACTGGTTCACTTTCAGAATTGTGCTATGTAAACTGAGTTACAGCATTTTTATAATTTAAGTGAGTGCTCAGAAGTGTAGTACTTATTCTTGAAATCAATATAAAAACAGCCGAAAAGAATCATCTTGTTACAAATGGTTGAAGCAAACAATTTAAATGGTAACCATGTGCACGAGTTCCATCAAATTAAACTTTAGCTATCTGATCGTAATTACAGAAGCTATATGGGAGATTCTTTCGTCACGTCGATCCAGTCGATAGTTCCCTTCAGTCCACATATGTTGAAATGTGTTCGATGTGATAGATGCAAAATTGTATATAAGGCGAATTTTGACTTCATCAATTTCAGATGGCAATAGCGGCCCGAAAATGTAATTTTTAACATAACCTTACAAAAAAGAGAAATTCACAAAGGATGAAGTTTGGCAAATACAGAGGCCAGGCGAAAAACACATTGTCGTTTTTCGTTGGATTACTAACCTGATGTGTGTTGCTTGGCAAAAAGTCTCTGACATATGCCTCTGCAATGTGTGACAAGAAATCATTCTTAATTATTACCATCTGTAATAAACTAATTCGTTTTGACTTCTTCTGTATTTATTACCCTTTGAAAGAAGTGTATTGCTTATGGTTGTAATGTAAAACCACGTCTTAGCAAAATAAAATACGAAGACATAATCATGTCGACGTGGAATGTGTCACAATCATGTGTCGATGGAAACGTCGACGAGAAAGAAGGAAAGAATCCAGAACCAGTTCTTGGTAAGTGTCATTACTCGAAAACATTTAATATACCTTTCAACTCCATCGTGCATAGCCGATTTTCATAGTAATGACCAAAAACAAAGCATAAACTCTTTAATTTATCTTTCAGAGTTAATCAATCTGTTGCATTTAACAAACAGAAAGATTTAAAAACTATGAGCTGTTAATGCGAGAAAAAATATATTTCTATACTTCTTTTATACTCCCTCACATAATTTTCTTCATTTATTACCATTGGGAAAATCATAAGATCTCTAACTGATCTTTCAAATTGAATCATTCTATTATTTGTTAGCAAACCTGGCATCCAGTTTGTGACAAATCGTAAACACATTTCCTTGTAGTTTAAATTTTTATTTCACTTTTTAAAATAATGCATTCTATTGATATCAATTAAAAGGTATTTATTTTTAATATACCTGACTGACAGTTTTTATAGATAACATTTGCAGTTTCCCTGCTGCTAAATGTATGTATTACGCAAATGATACAAAATAGTTTTATTTTACGTTTTCGTAATTTCTTTTTGGATTAAAAATATTTTTAAAATATATTTTTGGATTAAAGTACTTCTTTTAAAATATTTTCATAACTTCTGAAATTTTTAATAGCAAATTCGTTTTTAAAGTGTTCGATTGTAATATAAAGTTTCAGATTGCAATTTTCTTTTTATTTATTAAACAGGGTGTTTATAAAGTCTCTATACACGTTTGAGAAATACGTTCTAATTCCAAGTTCTTTGGAGGCTATTTGAAAGAATTCCGTCAACATAGGAAAGAGTAGCCATTGTTTGTGCCCGTACACGTAGATTAACGTATCAACAGGTGCAGGAGGACTTTGCCCGCAAATTCAGAAAACAAACCACTACCAGAGCAGCTATTAAAACCTTGGTAAACAAATTAAAGAGAACTGGTAGTGTTAAAGATGAAGACCATTCTGGGAGATTTTCGATAACGCCACAAGTTGAGCAAAGCGTACAAGAAGCGATTACGCGTAGCCCACAGACATTTACACGAAGACTCAGCCGAGAACTCAGTATTTCGCCTACTACTTTTTAAAAAACTCTGCGCTGTTATATAACTACCACATTCAAACTGTGCATAAGCTTGAAGTCGAGGACTATGCAGCTCGGCAAGTCGTGTCTTATGATTTGTTAGAAGCTGTGGATAATAAGAACTGATTGGAGAATGTTCTCTTTAGAAAGGAAGCCACGTTCCAACTCAACGGCCATGTTAGTAGGCATAATTGCAGAATGAGGGCTGATGAACAACCAAATGTGTTATACGAATCTCAGGAAGACAAATGTAAAATTAATGTATGGATTGGAATAATTAAGCTCTGTGGACCTTTCAAGTTCACAGAAAGAACCATCACTGGAAAAATTTATCTCGATATGTTGCAACAATATCTTGAGCCACAGTTATTATCAGATGGCATTATTGACACTGTTGTCTACCAACAGGATGAGGCATCTCCCCATTTTGCAATTTTTGTGCGTAATTATCTTAATGAAACTTCCCGAATCTGGCTCCTCCTTACCAATATGAGCCATTTATACTGTCTCTCCATTTCCTGCGCTTTTATCTCTGAGAAAATCGATTACATAAAACAGGTAGAGAATGGGAGCAAAAAAGGAGCACTTCTGCAGTGATGATTTTGAAGATTGAATAGACATTTCCTTGATTGATACTTAAAAGTTCGAAGGAAGGAATTGAGAAGAATAATTCCCGACTAAAGTTCATCTTAAGGAGTTTAAAGATCAAACCCTTTAGTCAGACGCGGCTGAATGCTCTCGCCACGTCTAGCATAAGGAATGCCCTGCATTTCTTATGGTCCAAAACTGTCGGCGTAAATTCAATTAGCCTGACTAGTTGCTTTGAAGCAGACAGTTACTTCTTGAATCCGTACTAAACGGAGAAAAGTATCTGAAGATATGGATTCATCCGTTTGAAGGTAATGCGTTCGTCAGTTTTGCTGAGATTAGAAAACAAACGTTTAGGGCAAGAATTCTTCATTTTGGTTCTATCTTTTCTAGGTTTAACGAAACAAGACTTTTGCACTTTTCCAAAGATTTGTGAAATAATTTAGAGTCAACAGACATTGATAATTCCAATTAATTTGGCGATAGTGTTTGAAGGTAAATTTCATAACACGTGTTTGGTAGTTCCGTCAAGGCCCTGGGCCATTTTAATATCCAACTTATGTATTATATCTTGAATTTCACCAGGAGTACTGAGGTCAGGTATAGGGCTTGCTTAGGATCTCAGATCCAAGAGTCAACAAGTTCTCTTCGGTAAGTCAACAAATCTGTTTCTCAAATCAACAAATATGTGATAAACTGGGTTCACTGTGTCACGATCACTCTGTCTTACAATCTAAAAATCTCATCTTAAATATAAGCGAGCTAGCATACATTGTGACGTAGAAACGGAAAGAAGAAGTGACAGTAAAGCTCTAAATCATAAAATAACTGCTTAATTAATATAAAATAACTCTACAGGTTACATATCCTCCTTCAGCCATGATTAAAAATCACAAAATAGTGCTATAAAAGTTTTTGTTTCTTCGTACCTCATAAAAAATTGTAAAATTGTATTAAACAAGCTCAATAGTGTGGAATGTTAAAGAAAGTTATGCGCATAATTTTGCAACTTATTTAAATAGCCAATCTCTGACTATTATACGTACTCGTACTACAGTATACCCGTACTACAGTTTTCTCAATTTTCTAATTGTATACGTTTGGTTGTATAAAACTTTAAAAGTTTTGACTATAATATCATTGAATTAATTCAACAACTGCTAATAGCATAAACTCAATTATTAATATTATGTTAGCAGATATCAAATAGTTATCAATGAGTATTATTTTAATTTAAACCTGATTACATACTTTTAAAAAGAAATAAATTTTCCTCCAAGAAATATTTATTATTGCTGTCTAAAGAGCAAAAATTTAAAAAGAAAAAATGTCAAAGAAAATTAGCTTTTACATAGATGGCCTATTTCTGGGAAATTTTTAAGCGGAGTGCTTTTCAAAGAAATGATTTTTGTAAAGAGCTATACAGCTATACAAACTATGTTTATAAGATTAGTGGCAAATGCGTATTTTAGTATTATATGTATTCTAATAGATACAGGAAAAAGAAAAACCTAGTTCTTTCTCATTTGCTTAAACATAGTTCCGCAATCTGGACTATTCCAGCCACTAGTAGGAGAAGATCTAACGAGGAAGGAAAGGCTTCAGGGTAAGGGACGTTGAGAAGCCAAGGTGCAAAAAGAATACTGTCAGATAATTAGGTTGCCCAATCTTTTCGAAACAATCTTTTAAACATTTCTCTGATTGCATAAATGTTATAGTTGCGCATCTTTCAAAGAGTCAAACCAAATCATGATATTCGGATGTTTCCACATATTGCTTAATGTAACACGTATATTCGTTTCCTTATACTAAATGGACACAAATTTCCAACTATCAATCTAAAATTATAAAAAAACTAAAATTATTAGTATAAAATTATAAATTCGTGACCCGAACCTATATTTTCAGCAATATCTTCAACATACAAGCAGAATATTCTTTCAATATACACCATTGCGCAAAATATACCATTGTGCACGCATTCTATGGAAAAAATCTGCACGTGTTTTGTCAGGAACATTTCTATGTATACTTTGAGAAGACTTTCAATAGTTTTAGTTTTATTACCGTATTTTGTGACGAACTTTAATTAATAGTTCAATGCAGTGTAAATGCAAACAATTAAAAAATAAAAAATTCTACAAATCACATTCAAAGGACAATATGCCATTATTGCAAAGGCAGTGTGTTCAGAAAACATAAAATTGGGAAAGGAGGCGTTGAGCGAAAAAAGATTAAGAAACTATAACATTTCTGTTAAAAGAAACTGATTAAAGAACTAAAGTTGATTTCTAAATGCGCGAAATAATCATCAACGAGATTAGCTTAGGACAAAAGATGAACTTACCTTCGCAGTATGGTGGAGAATCTGACCACGTTTGGTTCTTCAGGCAGATGATTACGGGCTGTCCAACAAGTCGGTATCCCGTTGGACAAGAGAACGTGACTCTCGATCCGTACGTTCTGTTGTGCGCTTCTATTTTAAGGTGGCTATCTTCGAAGCTTAAAGGAGGACACTGGATCACTGGAAAAAGAAATAAGGCTTTCATGTTTTCAAACCATGCAGTATTATGAGAGTTGTCTATTAATTTCCAGCATTATTTATGTAACCCTTTCACATTAATGATACGTGGTATTGCTAATGATATAATATTAGCTGTAATACCAAGTTATTCAGGCGTTATACCAAACTCATTCAGTTTTTAAAAGCTGTACATAAGAACACAAACAGAAATGAAAGGACAGCAAACTTTTTCTATGCAAATTCCAACGATGACATACCTTTAGAATTGAATTAATGATTGCAGGAGGTGTATCGAAAAGTTTCGAGACTACTTCTGTAACACGTCAGATGATAGTAGCGTAAGGCTACACGCGCAGGCACAGATAGCACCGACCTTCATAAGTCAATGTGCCAAGAGACATTGTCATAAGTACATCGGGAGTTGTGCAGCTGGTGCTATTCTAATTACGTGCGTTCCTACGTCTGCGATTACGTCATGAACAGTAAGTCAGAACAGCCAGCGAACGTGAAATTCTGTGTAAAACTGGGTAAATATACCACTGAGACACTTTACATGATTCAGCAAGTGTACGGCGATACTGTAATGAGTCATTCGAGGTGTTTTGAATGGCACGCGAGCTTCAAGATCGGAAGAACATCACTGGAAGACGACGAGAGATTGGGACGATCTTCAATGAGCACAAAACCCGAAAATATCGAAACCATTCGGCAACTCGTGCATGAGAATCGTCGAGAACAATCTACAATATTGCTGCCATTGTCGATATATCATTGTGCAGCCACAATGAGTGATTCAAACATGCTGTGTTAAGTTAGTTCTCAGGTTGCTGACTCAGGAGTAAAAGGAACACCGTGTCGAAATCTGCCAAGAACTCCGTCAGTGTGCTGTGAATAACCCGTCTTTCATGTCGAGGATCATTAACGGTTACGAAATTTAGGTGTACTGGTACGACGGGTAAACAGATCTAATATCGTTACTTTTTGATACCACCTCGAACTATTTGCATATTTCGTTTACTACCAAATGTAATTTACAATTTTTGCATTCTAAATAATTTCACTTGAAATTGAAATAAAAACGCCAGCCATGCCTTTTATAATCATATGCTAAAATGTTATCACTAGTGTCAACGTTTAAGCCATTTTTCAGTTTTTCCGGTATAAAACATATCAAACTGTTTCAAACATCAAATTCATTTTAAACATATCCCACTAGTAACTACGCTCACTATGTTATAAATTCTTGTTAGTTTTTCTTTTTTCTTTTTTTAAGAATTAATGAGGTATTGAGAATGAAACTGAAATAATGTTTAATATAGTACTGTAAATGTCAAGACTTGTCGCCCAACTTCAAATATATCCCATTTGATCAGCAAGAATATTATGTAAAAGTTGAATTAGCGGCGTAGTAGTACATTCATGTGCTAAATAGTATAATCCACGCAACATAATGAAGAACACTGCTGCTATTGCAGTTAAGGAAAAAAGGGATGAATTATAGATGTGCACGAACCACATCCATTCTCAGAGCAAGCTGTTTTGAAGAGACATTTGATATTAACATAAATTATTCTTAAAAACAAAATAAACCCATACTTATCCACCTCTCCGCAGATTTGAATACATATTTTAACTTAGGTTTATCCTCTGAAGATGTCTGCTGGAAACTTCTCATCCCAGATTTCCCTTTTAGTTGCTACAAACAAGCAATATAACAAACTCACGCTAATACCGTTTTTTCCTAAATCAAAAGAAATGCAAAAGATAACATTCGCTTATATTAAAAAAGGCAAAAAGTAAAACATTTTAGGGTTTATTTTATGTAGTGACTGCAAGAAAATAAGAATAAGCTTGAAAATTAGACAAGGGAAGTATGCAGGATGGTTCGAATGTTTTAGAAGGACTACTTAGGTGAAACACGATGAAAGTAAATAATCTGCATACTTCCGTCTTTCAAGTCTTGCATATTAATCACAACAATAACGGAATCTCGACTTTTAACTTTAAGAGAAGTAGACATTGAAGAAAATATCGAAATTAGTGAACTCTTCTCATAAGTTCAAATGATATATAAATAGATGAGCCTCTTGCTCGTCTCCATTTAATTAAAACTAACCTCTGAGGACAGTCAGTTTGAACTTTTATCATTATCAGATTTGTTAGAATTCGACATCTCTGTTATGATGAAGAGTTCTTTGATGCTTACACACATATATTATTTATATTTTACTGAAGTTATCTATTTATCATAAATTTCTGCTGCTATTGCATGTTACTCTTTATATGTTGTTTTGTATGATCTGGCAGGGTTAATTAATGTGATAAGTTACTTGATCCTTCCTTGTACGAAATCCTTTTCGAGGTATCCTGAAGTTGTTCCTCACTAACTGACTATACTCATATTCAGGCTATCACAGAATATCCCTATTGTTTCTTCTGCCCATCCATCCGAGTCAAGTCACAACTCAGTTTTACATTCCCAGAATATCTTCACTAAGCCCCCCAGATAGTACACTGACTACCAATAAGTATTTGGACACCTATGCAAGTGATGATATCTGCGTTCCTAAGGTACGTCACGGACTCCGCCGGTATATATCGCGTATTAAACAGCATCGGCTTTAGTCGCATGCAAGATGCCTCGCAGTTCGGAGCTCTCTGATTTCGAGAAAGGTATAATTATCGAGTATCACAAATGTGGCCGATCCTTAAGGGACATATCTAGCGATCTGAAGTACCCAAAATCGACAGTGGCCTATGTGATTAAGAAGTGGAAGGTGAGCGGTGATTGTTGGAATGTGCCCCGAGTCGGCAGACCAGCGAAACTGGGAGATAGAGACCGACGAGTGCTGTCCAGAAAAATTCGGAAGAACCGCACCCAACCGATGGCACTCATCCGCGAGGAGTTTCAACTGGCGTCCGGGAGTATTGTTTCAATGAATACCATCCGTAAGGAAGCACATCTGCTTGGTTTTCATGGTCGTGCTGCTGCCCATAAGCCTTTGATCACAAAGTCCAACCGCGCTGCTCGGTTAATGTAGTGCAAAGCACATCGAAATTGGACCGTAGATCAGTGGAAACGGGTTCTTTGGAGTAACGAATCAAGGTTCACCCTTTACCGTTCAGGTGGCAGGGTCTGGGTCTGGCGTCTACCTGGAGAACGTCTCCTGCCAGAATGCATTATGCAATGCCAGTTGTCATGTTTCGACGTTAACCAAGGCTTGGTATAGTGCCAATGGAGTTCATTGAATGGACTAGCCTGCCCAGAGTCCAGACTTGAACCCTATCGAGAACTCTGGGACGAGTTGCATCGCCGAATTCAGGGGTGCACTACCCGTTCAAAATCGGTGAAGGAACTTCTATGTCTTCTCCAAGCCGAGTGGAAGAAAATACCACTAGCTGTCATACAAAGACTTGTGGAAAGTATGCCCCGGAGGGTCCACGCTGTAATTTCCTCTCGTGGAGGCTCTAGCAACTATTGATTTTGAATAAAGTTAGTTTTTATTTTCTATAACATGTGTCCAAATACTTATTGGTAGTCAGTGTATACATAAATGTTGGAAGAACCGTAAGATTTATTTACCACCTTCTAGAGAGAGATATTCTCTCTCTCTGTATAGAGATGTTCTCTCTCTGGAAGTCCTTTTCGTATGACCACTATGGAGAGCAAGAAATGCTGTAGTGATTTATGTAATTTTAGATTTTTAGATTCGAAATAATATATATTGTTCCATGGTCCACACAAAAGAGTCCCCCATTCAGCTAAACATTTATTCATTTTTAAATCACTGTGACTTAGAAAAGATTTCTTAAACTCTTAATACTCAATACTGGGAAACATAAGAAAGCAATCATGAGATATTAATCCCCATCTATCTATGCTTTTCATATCTGCTCTTCATAGAAATATCTCTAATCTGTTCCCACTTAGGTAAAAGCTTTAAATAGTCGAAGTCCTTACATGCATGGATATTAGATTATTCTAGGGTTACGGATAAATGATTCCCACATCGAAATAAATATTAATCGAAATATCAGTGTTTATATGTAGCGAGTTTAAATTAAAATATAGGGAGGATCAATCGTAATATACTAGAAAAGAAACTTCGAAGTTTCGCTATGCACTTGCCGTTACAATACAGATTGTAAGCGAAGAACTTTTCTTTAAAAAAAGGACGCATAATTTTCAAGTTTTCGTGTCTATAAATACAGATAATAATATGAATAATGACGAAAATTTCAAAATGAAATCTTAATAAACTCTATATCTGAGTAATTTTTCTAGTCTTCAGGAAATTTTAAAATAGTTGGGTAATTAATAATATTGGTCTTAAAGACCTTGTCAGGAAGCTGAAAAAATCCACAATACCCTTGTCGTAATTAGAACTCTGGACCTCACGAATATCCTTCGAGCGTGCTTCCAGCTACAAAATGAAGGCAGGCGGAAAGGAGCGAGAAAATACATAACATTATAACCTTATTTTGCAAATAAAGCCGTTTACATATTTCTGAATATCCTACAGGAAAATTCTTTATTAAACTCATTTTTAGTGTATTCTCATACTGTAAAAATTAAAAAAACGATAATTTGTATTACTCCTGTGACGGAGTTATTTCTTTCCAATTTATGCTGCCTAGTTGATATGAAACAGTGCATATTTATTTTGTTCCATCATTTTTTTTTTTTCATTTCAACCCTCTAAATATGACCAAACATTAATAGAAGAGGAACGGATGTAATAGAAACGAGGGAAAGAAAAGTATAAAATTAGTTTTTTTTTTGCGTTACACTCTGGCTCCTTTCTGTCATGCAAAAACTTGTAAAATAAATACTCAAAAGGAACAATTAATGGAATAATTTTTACAGCGAAGCATTAAACATGCAAACGGGCGTTTAAAAAGTGTAATGCTTTAAAACGAATTTTATTTTAATCTATACTAAGTGCTAAAGAAAGCAAACCTTCACAATGAGGTGGAGCTTCAGACCACGAACCGGAGGCAGTGCATGTGATCTCCTCGGGTCCAATGAGGTTGAAGCCTTCCATGCAAGCAAACCTAGCTTGGCTATGCATTTTGTTGCCTTCCACAGCCATCACCCGATTGCGATCTAAAGAATCTATAGCAGGACACTGAACATCTAGAAAGAAAACAAGACTTATCTAATTGTGCATTGACCATAAGTTTTACACACGGATCACATTAATATACAGAATAAAAAAGAATCATTCTGTTATAAATGGTATCAGAGAAAAATATAATCAGTTCATGTTTACGTGTGTTACATCCAATTAAATTTAACTATCCAAATTTCCCGAACTTTGGAATATTTTAAGGAACTTGACCATACAAAGCACTTGGGTTTCAAAATGATGAAAGTAAAATGCGTTTTGTGTTTTCCAGTAAGCTGAGACTTCATTGCGTTCGGCTGAAATTATTGCTGAAGATATGGCCTTGGTACGTCAACAAAACACAGCATTAAATGATTACATCGACAGCTTAAAAGAAATGAATATCCATATAAAAGGCAGCAAATAAGTAAATGACAATGACTTATTCAATAGACCACAAATTTGCTAGATCTCACTCCCTATCATTTCCTTTAGCGGAGGGTATGTTAAATATACTGGTTTTGCGCTGCTATTATCAACCAACTTTGTAGAATGAAGATTCGCATTGCACATACCATTGCGTTGATGATATCGAATATGCCTCAGCGTATGTGATCAGAAATGAAAGTGTGTCAGGTGAAAATTAGGTAATCGTATGTCAATTATGTTTGCGATAATAATTTGTAAACACGATGATACTTTTTGATTTATTCTGTATTATCGTCATTTCCTGTACTAAAAGGTACGCCCATAAAGTAAACGGACAGTTTCTTATATATAAAATAAAAAATTACTATCATTCAAATAAATCTTTATATTTCAAAATAATCCCCAGAGAAGTCTATACAATTTTTTTCAACGTTTTTTCAGGTCATCGAAACACTACTTACAGACGGTGGAACTAACCGTTCGCAAAATCCACGTAACGTTTGATGTTGAAAGACGCGCCATCTTTTGAATCATTTTCAATACTTTCCCCTCCATATTTAAAGTGGGCTGTACCACTCATTCACTTGGGTTTTTGATAACGATGCATCACTATACACCATTTGGATAATCTCTAATGTTTCTGTAGAAGATTTACGTAATTTGTATATAACGTTATACACCTCGAAGCAATTTTTTTTCGTACAATATCTTCTCTATAAACGAAAATGCCTTCGGCGTACTGATATGCAAACGACTAGTTTAAATTGGTTTTAAGAAGAGTTGAGATGTCAATCTTTCTAAACTTGAAATTATTCACTTATTTTATTTTATCGATTGGTCTTCTGATTCATCTGGTTACTATATGGGCGCACTGTGCACTATTTTGACTTATGGCTCAGATACATGAATTTTGGATGTGAATTATCGGATAAGATCCTTCAAAAGTCCTCTTATGAAATAGTTTTACATTTATTTTACTGTCAAAAACATTAATTATTTACCAAAACTGTAAAATTACTTTAATATTTACAGTTTTAGAATGTTTCTTGACTGAAAAATCATTTATATGAAGCAAATTAACTGTTTGGCCAATTGGGAAATACTGGTCAGATATTTACATGGAAATGTATCTTTCATTGAAAGTACTTTTGAAGAAGCAGGGGTTTTTTTAAGCATTCAAGCGAAAGTCTTTTGTTAGCTTGATATGCAAATGATACTCTACCTTAGAAAACATTACGAATGACTGATCGCAAAGAATATACATTTAAGGTATTTTTGGCAACAACGAAATAATGCTTACACAATTTTCTTGGCAAATGAAATTTAGTTTTGTGTTCAATGTTTGTCCCACGTTCTTCTGTTCAGTTCGAGTTTCAAATTATCTAGCTTACTATGAATATATTGTATTTTCAGAAAAATATAAGCTTTAAGTCCTGAGAAGGATAGGGAATAGATATACGTTTCCTTGTCACAAAAAGCAGAAAAAAAGAATACATTTTAAAAAATACATGTACATATATAATCGTAAATAAAATACATAAAATAAGAAATTTAATTTATTGTTTCTAAGTAAGATAGTAGAATTTTAAAACGCCGTAGGTACAATAATCCTTCCCTTTAACATGCAAAATAGCTGTATAAGTATTTTCATTTACTTAGATTTTACAAAAAAAGTCATTACTTTTCTCTGCTGTATTTCAGAGAGAATATGTCCAATTTAACATGATGCGATACGAATTAGACTTAATTTAACAATGAAAGAATTGAAATAATTTTTCTTTTTATATGGGAAAATGGGAAATATTACTGTGTTATTTTCTATTTGGCTGGCAGCTCTTCTTCCGAGGGTACATATTCTACGTTTTGAATAAAAGATAAATGTTATTTTCATGATTACATGTTAACCTGCAGTCAAAAGCTCGAGTCTAATTACCCAATTTTAACATGGTATATGTATTAGAACGATGAAGGTATGCTATCTTCGACATAAGTTACAATCATGCGTAGACGATAACAAGCCTGGCAAAACTAAGTATTTTTCTGTGTTCTTTTAAACATAGCTTAGTTCTGGAACAATTCTATTATTCATAATGATGTATCGCACTAGTATTCTAAAACCATGCAAAAGATTCTCCAAGATGTACGCAAATAAAAATTATTTTATTGCCTAAAAGTGTGCAAAAAATCGTCGCGCAACGTTTTACTGCACAATAATTTTACAAGTTGTAGTTAGTTATGTTTAGACATAGCATCTAACAGCTTAAAGACAAGCATTTGCCATAAGACAGGCATTTGCAAATGATAATATATTTGGATCTTTTGCAAAATTTTCTATATTGCATTTACTTAAGGACTGCATTGACATGTAAAAGTTAGGTATGGCTAATTTTGGGCACTTCACATTACTATTTAATGCAAGAGGTTTATTTTAATTAATACGTTATTTTTCTTATGTTAAATCTTTTCTACATTACGGTTTTTTTACCATCTCCATCAGAAAGGAAAATGAAACGAACTTAAATAACGAATGTGGAGATTTATTAAAGTTACTTAACAGTTAATTTTATTTGGAAGCAACCTTTCCTATTGATCTCTTCAACCACGTTTTCTTGCCGGAATCTAAATGAGTTAGCGCGCGTGGATTCATATGAGGTAGAAAGAAGTTAATATATAAGGGAAGCTTTTGGAAGGTGTTTTTAGACAGTATTCCGCCTGCCTGAAGGCGACGTTTAATCTTTGATTTACTAAGGATTAGATTTCTGTGCCGTTGAGCTCTTCTAGCCATTAAGCTTGTTTGTGCCGCATTTACGAGTCACAGAACTTAGGAAAAGCCGTTAGGCTAACTGAATTCTATCCTCTTTTGAGTTACTTGTGACCTTTTGAGTTAAGCCAAAAGGTGCTGGCTTTTTTAAGCACGAGTCGGTGCCATCTATGAATAGTATTGAGTTAATAAAGGATTCCTTACACCCTTTCTCTGGAATTTTGTGGTACTTAAGGATAATTCCTTACACAGTCTGTTAACGTCCAATTGGTTTACCCTCGCTGAGCATACAAGACATTCTACGAGAAAGAATCTAAATTAAGTGAGAGAGCACTGGAAACATAGACTAAGATTCTTTCTAACTGGTGGAATGCTATGCTGATTGCTGATCATTGATATGATAGGAATTCATTGATATTATTGATATGATAGAAAGTAAAATTTTCATTTGCAATTAGATTAGACGGTGCATTATCATAGAAGTTAGTTTTTTATTCTTTAATTCAATATTTGTTTTACGGAGTTTGACTTTCTGTGGTACCATAAACTAGTATCAAACTTCTAATAGACGATAAGCGAATTACCGCTGTGTCTGGAATGAACTGCAGATTCTTGAAAAGGTTAAAATTACCATTTTATTAATATTAGACTTTGAATATAAACGCGCGTCTCGTGTTTACAATATCATCCACCACTTGCGCTGATACAACTTAAAGTAACAGGTACAGGTGCAGGTAAAGCAACAAGAGCAATATGCCATGATCAACTTGCAAGCTTTATAGGCGTTTAAAAAGAAACGTTGAATAAATGAGGAGCTGAAGCTTTCCAAAGGCCCTAACCTTTACCATTTATGGTACATCGTATAATCGCACTGTACGCCTCGAATCCAGTACTTATTAAAAAATAATTTAGGATATAAAGATAGTTTTAATACGATTTGAAATTCACAAATTAATTTGAGAGCATTTGTTTTGATGTAAAAAAAAACCGATAAACATAATGTGATAAATATTACATTATTACGTACTGGGAACACAATGTTCTAATGAACTATAATAACAATACTAAAGAGGGATCATATCCACGGGATCATATCGTTTCAAAATAACATCAAAAACACTGTAAGAATCTGAGAGCTCAGGGATTTCAGAATGCAAAAATTGGGAATACAGAAAATAATTTTTGACATGAAACAAACAAAATTAAAAAAAAGATACTTAAAATGCTTTGTTGGAGCATGTCATTACAGTTTATAAAGTTCACAAATGTAATCCTTTTAAACATGTTCACAGGATGTAAAAGTTCATTAAATTTATTCAGCATGAAGAAATTATACTTGGCAAAGATCTAGGCCGTACGAAAAGAGTCGTTGTATAATTTTTTGACACTTCAGATACTGATTTTTATCTTTAATTAGAAGCCTTTGGAATGCAAGGAGATCCATTTATGGGGATTTTATGGGATTAACTTAATTTAGAATTTAGAGTAATTAATAAATTTAGAATTTAAACGAAGCCTAGTAGTCGAGGATTACACAATTAACGTTAATTCTAAGTTGGCTTAGAACTCCTCACGGCGTAATAATTTAAATGACGGCAGTTATAACGCAACGTCGAATTCAATCTTATCAGAGTTGTCAAGGCCTTGAGAGGCAAAAATACGCTCTGTCTTACAGTTCGAAAACCTCAGCTTAAATAGTCTTTAAAGCATTTGATTCCTAGTGAGGAAATGGAAAGGATAATTTATAGTAAACTCTGATATTATAAATAACTGGCTAATTTAAATAATAGTAATTTTATAATTCTGTAAATAATTTAATTGTTTTTGTATTCTCAGTCTGTTAGAAGTGCAAAATTTTCTGTACCTTTAAACAGCTTTTTACGATAATCGAAATTTTTTTATGCTTCTATATAAAATGTGATTTCTGAACAGCATCTTAAAATAAACACCATAAACAAACTCGCTCTAGAATCAAAGTTATTGTGAAAATTAATTCTAAGCTTCTGCCACGTAACCCTCTAAGAGGCAATATATGGCTTAGAATATTTTTTGTGATATCCGTAAAAACGTGCATATTAAAAAATATGTCAAAGAAATTAAGGCAACATATCAAAAGTACACAAATCCAGGTATGTAATACCAGGAGAGGTTTTACATTAAAATCAAAAATATTATTTGTTCTCATAGTAGTTTTGGGAAATTTGTGCTTTCTTAGGAAAACTCTGGTAGCTCAGAGGGCCAGATAGGTTATGTGTATTTTCATTTTAGAAAAGTCCTTGCATTAAATCTGCTAAACTACAAATAAAATGCTTCAGTATATAATTTTATATAAATTTATAGTTACGTATGCTGGAAAAGTTAACTTATTAGCATATCTATATAAATAGTTATTCATTTAAAACGAGTAATGTACTTATAAGAATACAAGCTATTTTTTTTCAATAAAGATTTCATACAATTGTGATACTGCTGCTCGCGTATATCATTTCTCTGAACCAGCTAATTACAGTTTCAAGAAACTTGGATTTATTATGTAAGTATTAGATCTAATTAATTAAGCTTGTCTGTATTAATTAAGATACAATGCATAAAATATTGCATAGGTATTGTACTTTATAAAATGGCTAATTATTGAGCTTCTGATGTGAGAAGTTTTGAAACTATAATTAAATTTGAAAATCGTATGAACGTTTTAACTTCTCTCTTCCATCATCACAAATGGAAATTATGGAGATTAAATATGCAATGTGTTTTAAAGTATAGTTATCCATAATTACAAGCTTATAAATATAGTTTTATATTCTTTTATTTTTTGTTAAGAAAATAATGAGAATTTACAGGATATGAAGTTAATTATATCTTTAAGTAAAGATTTCTCAAAACTATAATTATCCTAAGAGAATGATTTCTCTGAAAACGGTTAGTCAGTATTAAAAAAAAATTAAACCAGTGTGTAAACCGTATGTGAGTATAAAATGAACATCTAAGATATCTCTGCATAAAAGTTGTAGGAATTTAAAATCCTTAATTGTATGAATTAAAGTCGATTTTGGAGTCTTTAAGAATATTTTTTATGTAAACATAATTTATCAGCATTTAAAGGTAAGTCATATTTATTAGCCGAAAGGAGCATTAGCCCAGATTAGTATCGAAACGGTATTTTAAGTCGGTTCACTATAAACAGCGTATCACTGTTTAAATTGTTGCCGCCAAATATTTTCACCCTGTTTTATATTTAAAGAAATTAAATAATGAAGAATCTGCATGAATGTATGTATGTTTTAGAATTGGGAAAAAACGGCGGTACCTAAAGCCATCAAATTCTGAATAACATAATCCTCCACTAGATCATGGGCATTTGGAAGGCCGAATTTTGAATTTCTGGTTTGCTTTATTATCTATTTCAGATGTTGTAAAATTTTAACGAATTTTTTATTAACAAACCTAACGATTTCAAAAGCGAGCAATGGCAACACTGTACGAAAGAAAGATAGTTTTATCTACAGCATTAAGTAAATGTCTATCGGAAATTTTAGATATGCTCTTTTTAAATATTTTGTGATATTGCTGTTGAATTGAATTTTATGTGGTTTAAGTGCGAAAAACATGGTATTTAATAACTAAAGGTACTACACAAAACGTACAAAAAACCCTTTGGGCGTAATATAAAATTTGAAATTTTTCAGATTTTCTGTCCTTTTTTATATTATTACTCTAATTTGGAAAAAAAAATAAAATCAGCTAAAAATAAAGATTAATATATCCATAACATTCCGAGCAATACACATTAGAGTTTTAAACCGATGACGAAGAAGTAACTTTAGTTTAATTTAATTAAAAAAAACTTCAAAGCTAGAAACATGAAGTTAAGAAAGCAGATAGAGTATCAAATGTATAGAAATAGCTATACAAAATTTTACGATCCTAAATCAATAGTTTTAAAGGGACTGAACTTAAAATATGTTATTTGTCATGACATATTTTACCATTTTAAAGGAACCTGACCCTTAAATACTATAGCTTTTGAACTTCCATATTTAGTTTTTGAACTATAAATGTCTTAGTTGCTTTTTACGATTGTTGTAGTATCTGGCGCATGTTTGGCGATCAACAAAGCGCGCTTGGCGCGTGTGACCTCTTCTCCTAGGAGGGTTACTGTATTTTAGGAAAGTTGCATATTAGCCTCGAAGAGGAAGGTACGAGATTTTTGCTATGCTGTAGGAGCAACATACTGCTCTAAGTTTACTAGTATTATGCTTTGAATATCATGTTAATAAATGCTTTGTTTCGTCTTGTAAATGGTGCCTTATTGAACCACGAAGCCATTACATCAGTCTTTAGTTTTAGTTAAGACTGTAACAGCATTAATTTATATAAAAAAATAATAATAATCTATGTTTAATATGAAAAAAAAGAGGAAAAATGTAATGCTTGCCGGATTGAACAAATATTAAGTCGAATATTTATTCTGGAACAAAACAAAGACTTGAGAAAATTTCAAGTGAACCCAAAAGAGCTTTTTCAAGTTATTAAATAAAATAAATACCAGTCTTAGAAAAGGAGGAAAATAAAAGGGCTAATACGATTTAACAGTATTTGAGAGCAAATTAGTAACCTATTTCTAAATAATATTAAATTCTAAATTTATTTTTATTGCACAAAAATATCCTTTGGTTTAAGATTTGTCGTTGTTACCATGTTTTATTCCCCCTAGAAACATCACAGGTATCCAACCAATAATCCTCATTATCTGCCATGTCTTATTTAGTTAAAAGAAAACTGAATTGAACTTACTTCTAACTCGTACGTGCACTTCGTTCGATAGGCCTTTTGGTGTCGTGCAGGTGAAGATTCCGTCATCAGTCTCCTTAGCATAATATATAGAAAGTCTATATTTCCAACTGCGTTCTTCTACTGCGATAGCCCAAGCACTTGGATACTGTCTTCCATATTGAATGTAACACAAAGAAATTAATACTTTGTTAATCATTTATTACTTTATTTGCTCTGAAAGAAATGTCCGGTTATTATTTTTTAAACCATATTACTGTTCAATAGAAAGAGTACTGATTAATCTTAAATAAAGGCATGTCTAATTTACAAATATATTTAGACGGAAATAAATAAATAAAAAAAAAAAAAAAAAAACTGCACGATACAAATTTCTTGTATGTGCATATGGGATTGTTACTTTTTTATGAGGTCTAAAAATTTTCAACCACTTAAAAGAAGCATTAAATAAATAAGCTACTGTACTTATGCAGGAAAAAATTTCTTACACTACATAATTTCTGAATACGGGCTCATCAGCAGCCGAGCGGTGCAGTCGCTGAACACTGGTAGCTCAGTTCGGGGTGCGAATCCCAATGAACGGGCTAGCTGCATGCGCGTTTTCGTAGTTTTCCTCATGTGTGACGTGTATACGAGCCAGTTTCCCTTAAAACGTCCTCCATGAAGACATGCCTCTCCTTAGGCAGATAGAGTGCTTTATAGTAATTAAATAAACCAAACCAAACTAGGTTCTGAATATGTACACTAATGACATTAATGCAACGATCCGTTAGATGCCCGACTCCAGCAAAATAAAGTTTTCTTAGCAGCCTTCAGTTCATTCTTGATGGATTCTTTAAATCATAATCGTCACTGTAATGTGAACCACAACAATACTGCTTCAGTTTCTGAAAAAAAAATACTGAAATATTCTGGTCGTTTTGAGCCAGATGTAAACGGTGAACTAGGAAAAAAATGAAATCCACATTGCTGTATAGCGGTCTGGGAAATGCGTCTTGCTGCTGCGCATAGTAATGCAAAGAATCGAAATTCAACTGCAGGATTGCTATTTTACGTTTATGGCTTATCACTATTGTTTCATTACGTTAGCATAGTACATATTTGTTATCGTGGTTATTATGTGCAATACAATCGATAAAAAATTATCCCTCTAGCAAAATACTGTGCCCAAATCCTTTCTGCAGATTTCTGTGTCTTAAACTTGCGGGGTAAAAGAGATCCATCGTGTTTCCTGACATCATGCTCTTTTGCTTTTCTTTTTTTGGAGTTGGGAGAAGAGGTCAGAATGATGAAGCCTTATTTCACCTGCTGTGATAGTCGTGAACAAAAGATTTCATTGATATTTCTCATCGAGAGCTGTTCTCGAGAAAATTTGCTGAACATTTCTAGCATCAATATATCGTGTTTCAATCTTACGCAGATCTTTGACAAACTTAGCTTTTCATGCAGGATTTTCCCCTCTAATCTAACTTCTATGTCCATTTCTGGGACAATATGGTCAGTATCTTATTTTCCATCTTTTTCGATTTCAGCACACATTTATTAAGTGGTGGTATCCACACTGCCAAAGGAGTTGGTTTCAAATGCAAAGTCATTCAATTTGCGAAAGAAAATGGAAATCAAGCAGCAGCAAGCATGTTTGGTGTTCGTGAAAGATAGAACAGATGATGATTATTTATTTAAATCTAATTTTTGTATCCTGCATATAAGTCGCACCTGTAAATTTCGATCTTACTTTCTGTATTAAAAGTGGGCGTTATACGCCGGAATATACGGTATTTTAGCAATGCTTGAGTATGAAAAATTTAAAACAGAGATACACCTACCATCTAATGTGACATTCATCGCACTGGTAACTAGAATAATTTTTTGTCATAAATTATGTATCTTCGTAGTTTTGTTTTTACTCCATATATATATGGAATAGGGAAATGTTTTTAACGAGCAGATTAATTTATTATTACAAATTTTAATTTAAGAGTGTTTGCCGCTATTGTCCAAAGTTTGTCATCAATTTTTAAACTACTTCCTGATAAGATAAGGAGCTCAAATTTTGTCCTTACACACTTTGTGTTTTGTGGATAACAACACATTGTGGTAAAGCTGTGTTTACAAAATTTGAGTAAGATTTTTTAATTTAATGATGAACTGAACAGCTAAAAATCTTAGAACATTACTATTTGTATCATCCGATCGAGAAACGAAAAATAAAAACTTCTAAATGAAGTTTTTAATGTAATTTGCGATTTGCGGACGAATTTTCGAAAACTGATAACCATCTGGTACAATATGAATTGTTGGAAGTGAAAGAGTCGTTATTCATTGCTGAAAGATGATTTTTCAATTGAACAGTTTGATTCATAACATGTTATGAAACTAAATACATGTGTTCTATTAAACTTAATATGTTTCACAAACTATAATCAATCAACAAATGGACTGTATTCCTACACTTTTATTAAATTACACTTGTCAGCGATGCAAAATAATTGATACAAAATAAGCGAGCCATTCTACATGGCTGTCACAAACACAATTCTATCAATCAATTATCTTGTTGCCACACATAAAGTTCAAAACTAAAGGAAGAAAAACAAAAGGAATTTACGCTGTTTGCAACAATAAAATGAAGCAAACGATACTCACACAAACATCCTGGCCCTCACTGAAATCCCAGGGGATTTCAACAGTTGGAGCATTTTGAAACTTCTTAGTCTGTAATAAAGATAAACATAGAAAAAAATAATACAAAATATTATATGCGAAGCAGTTCATAGTTTTTTTAGTCTGAATAGGAAGAGGACACAATTTCACGACTGGTCGTTTTATGACACCATGACCAGTTTTAATACTAGCAACTCTGACTCTTTGATCTGAGCCCGGATGAACAGCAATTATTCTCCCTAACCTCCATTTAAGAGGCGGAAGGTTGTCTTCTTTGATGAGGACTAAGTCATTGACTTCTAAATTTGTTTTGACTTTTTTGCCATTTAGGTCTTTGTTGAAGCTGAGACAGGTATTCTCGACTCCATCTTTTCCAGAAGTGCTGAAAAATAAACTGTCTCACATGCCAATCTGTCAATGTGATTGAAGGAACTATAATTTAGGTCTGGTTCAGGTATGGCAGTTAAAGACGTTCCTATTAGGAAATGACCAGGTGTTAATGCAGTTAAATCATTTGGATTAGCCGATGTTGGACACAATGGCCTAGAGTTGAGACAAGCCTCAACCTGCGCTATCAAGGTCTGAAATTCCGGATAGGTCAGCACAGAATCACCAACAGTCCTTTTTAGATGTAATTTCATTGACTTTACTGCCGATTCCCATAGTCCACCAAAATGGGGAGATGATGGCGGGTTGAATATCCATTTTATTTCCTCTAAAGACAAAAATTTGTGAATTTCTTGATTTTGCTTACATTGCAAAAAAACATTTCTGATTTCTTTGTCTGCACCTTTAAAGTTAGTACCGCAGTCACTATAAATCTCAAATGGTTTCCCTCTTCTTGCAATAAATCGTTTCAATGCACTTAAAAATGCCTTTGTTGACAAATCTTCAACCACTTCAAGATGTACTGCCTTGATTACAAAACACACAAATAAGCATACGTAATATTTAAATGATTTTTGTCCACGTCCTGCATGATGTTTAATCATGAACGGTCCAGAAAAATCTATTCCAGTTCGATGAAATGGTCGTGATTGTGTTACTCTAGATTCCGGTAGATCAGCCATTATTTGAGTTGCAGTTTTAGCTCTAAGTTTACAACACGTAATACAAGATTTCACTACTTTTCGGATAGCAGATCTAGTAGCTATGATCCAAAATTGCTGTCTAATTAAAGATAGAAGAAGTTCCGGTGCTGCATGCAGATATTTGACATGAAAGTGTCTAATTATGATTTCTGTCAGATTGTGTTTTGAAGATAATAAGATTGGATGTTTTCATTTTCTGATAGTTGCGCATTTTTCAGTCTTCCTCCTACACGTAACACTTTGTTGTCATCTAAAATTGGACACACAAGCTAAGGAGGTTGCTGTTTGTAGGTAAGTCCTTTCCCAACTCCAAACATTGAATTTTATTTAAAAAAGTGAAATCGCTGTATTATTCGGACAATACAGAAAGTTGCAGCTCGAATTTCATTACTAGATAAAAAAGACGTATTTCTTTCTAGATATGCTACTTTAGAATTCGATATGAATCTTAATATCCAAGCAAATATGCGTTGTAACTTTGGAAATGAAGATATATTTGATATAATAGCAAGTTCCTGTACAGGTTCAGAAACTACAAATGAGACTGTTTTACGTGCATCTGGTAATGCTTCTTCATCTATAAGAATATTTTTAGATAAGGCAATCTCACTGCACTTTAACCAAGAAGGACCATTCCACCACAATTGATGAGATAATAGTTCTGCAGGAAATAATCCACGTGAAGGACAATCAGCTGGATTTTCCTTTCCATCAACATGACTCCAGTTCTCAGGTGGGTAAGATGGATTGTATTTCAGAAACTCTATTGGATACGAATACTTGCCATTTTTTAGGATCTGACCTTAGCCATGACAACACGATTTGTGAATCACTCCAAGCTTGCACTAAATCAAAATTTATAACTAATGCAGCTTTTACAGACTGAATTAAGCGTGCCAATAACACTGCTGCACATAATTCCAGTCTTGGAATCGTAATAGATTTTAATGGTGCTACACGAGTTTTAGCTGTTACGAGTTTAACATTAATGTCAGAGTTATTGCAAGTTTTGATATAAATAACTGCTGCATAACCTCTTTCAGACGCATCACAAAATCCGTGAAGTTCACATCGAAAATAATCAGGTAGCAGAATTTTCCTAGGTATATTTATAGAATTCAAAAGTTTAACTTCTCTACATAGATTTCTCCAAATTCTATCAATCTCTTCTGTTACAGGATCATCCCATGATAACTGTAATTTCCACATTTGCTGAAGGATCATTTTAGCGAGAATTACAAACGGAGCTATCCACCCCAATGGATCGAATAGTTTTGCTACGAATGACAAAATAATTCTTTTAGTCGGAACACTTTGATACTCTATTACACCTTACACCGACATTACATTTGAATTCATCATTGTCCGGATGCCATTCCAATCCCAGAACTTTCAAT